AGCAGGAAGTACGGGTAGTCAGGCTAGACTGATCCAGTCTTCTCACCAGCCGGAAAATTATCAACCAATCACAGTCAAGGAACTTGGTAAGAAGACGAGATATTTGTACGAAGCAAGAGAAACATATTACAGATATATACATATGCATTTCTCTTTTTCTCTTCTTTTTTCACGATCTTATATCTTTAATAGGTTCACCGATTTGGAAACCAAGGGAATTACCTTCACTAGGGGAGTCCACAACATTGCCACGTAAGGGTAAGTCGGCCAGCGAGTTTGGGGATATAAGCTCATCTCATAGCGCCTCCCGAAAGTCTCTGATAGAAATCAATAATTGTGCTCAACAATCTAACTGTAATAACCACGTTTAAATTAAATAGATGTTAACAGATTAACGAACCATCGAGTTAAGTTTAAAAACCGTGCAACAAAATAAACCAAGCAACTATTCGATTATCGCGTAAATTGTAAAGACTAGTGCACGCTTGCCGCCCACGCGGAATACTTTACTTTAATGTGCGTTTCCTTCCTTGCACATTTCCTCCTTCTCATTTTGTCTTCCAAACGCGCTGCGCGTTATAAAACGTTGTGGGTGCTACTCCTCTATACAACGAACGATATTCAATTGTTTGACAGGAGAGAATTCTAAAGAAGAGACAGAACTTCACTTTTAGCGGGAATCAAAAGATTTCTCTCGAAACAAAGGGAGAACGTTTCGATACTCAACTTATGCACAATTGATGAAAATTTCAAAGAAGCTCATTCTCGGATTCTTCTTTCCATTCTTTCGTCGGCTATCTTTCAATCTTCCATCTACCATCGTGTCACATCGTCTTACTACTATTCGCTGCAACTGTTATATTGCAGTAATTAAAATTAAACATCAAATGTATTAAAAAAAGTTACAGACACGCGCGCACGCACATGCGTATGTATGTATATACATATACGTACGTATTTATGCACTAATGAACGCGCGTGAGCCAGCTCACGTATACATACATGGACATACACGCCATACATTATTTCACTAACAGTGCTAACAAGGAGTAAGCAAGCATAGCAGATCTTCTGAAATGTTATCTATTGATATTACCACTATATCATCACCGCTACTATTGCTGCTGTTGCTACTGTTTTTCTAACTACAACAACAATAACTACAATTATAACTACAACAACAACTGTTCCTGCTGTTACCACTGTCGCTGCTACTATTTCTCTTAACGTTGCTGCTGCTGCTGCTGTTGTTGCTGCTGCCGCCGCCGCCGCCGCTGCTGCTGCCACTGCTCCTGCTACTGCTGCTGCTGCTACTGCTGTTGTTGTTGCTGTTGCTGTTGCTGTTGCTGTTGCTGTTACTGCTGCTGCTGCTCCTCCTCCTCTTCCTAGTACTATTACTACTACTGCAATTGCAACTACTACTGCTACACCTACTACTTCCACTAGTACCGCTACTACAACTACTACCGCTATGACTACTACGACTACTACTATTGCTATTGCATGTCATCTATACAAGTATATGCTACCATGAATGTTCAAAGTAGGAAAGTTTTCTCTTCAAAATGTTTGCCTGAAAACTAACGATCAGTGTTAATTCGACTTTAATCCCAATCGAAATGTAATTACTTTTATGCCTTTTTTCTGCGTGGACGGCAATGCGATACAACATAATAAACTCTGTATATAATGTAATATTGATGTAATCAATATTGTCATTATTTTTATCATTATCATTATCATAGCCACTATCATCATCACCAATATTATTAACATTTCTATTATTACTACTACTATTATTACTATTACCATTAGTATTATTATTAAATCATTATCATGATCATCACTGTTATTATAATAATAGCATTATCATCATCATCATCACCATCATCATCATCACCATCATCATCATCACCACCACCACCATCATCATCATCATCATCATCATCACCATCATCACAATTACAATCACAATCACAATCATAATCACAATCACAATCATAACCATAATCATAATCATAATCATAATCATAGTCATAATCATAGTCATAATCATAGTCATAGTCATAGTCATAGTCATAATCATAGTCATAATCATAATCATAATCATAGTCATAGTCATAGTCATAATCATAATCATAATCATAATCATTATCGTAATCATCATCGTCATCATCATAATCATCATCATCATCATCATCCTCCTCCTCCTCCTCCTCATCATCATCATTATCATCATCATCATCATCATCATCATCATCCTCATCATCCTCATCCTCATCCTCATCCTCATCCTCATCATCATCATCATCATCATCATCATCATCATCATCATCATCATCATCATCATCATCATCATCATCATCATCATCATCCTCATCATCATCCTCATCATCATCATCATCGTCGTCGTCGTCGTCATCATCATCATCATTGTCATCGCTATCATCATCATCATAATTATGGTCATCATCGTCTTCGCCATCGTCATCGTCATTGTCATCGCTATCATCATCATCATAATTATGGTCATCATCGTCTTCGCCATCGTCATCGTCATTGTCATCGTCATCACCACCACCACCACCACCACCACCACCATCATCGTCATCGTCATCGTCATCGTCATCGTCATCGTCATCGTCATCGTCATCGTCATCGCCATCGTCATCGTCATCGTCATCGTCATCGCCATCACCACCACTATCATCATCATGATCATTATTATTGTTATTATTATCATCTTTATTATCATTATCATTATCATCTTTATTATCATTATCATTATCATCTTCAACAGCATGACTATTAGTTCATTTTTGTTATTATTGTTATTACTGTACTTGTTAACATCAGCATCGGTCTATATAGTCTTCATTATCATCGTCGTGGTCATTATCATGATCAATATCACCACATTTTTGTCGCTACTTGTATGACTATCGTCATTGCTACTTCTTTTTTTTAATATTTTGTCAATTAAAGTATGTTGAATCGTCACCATCATCATCATCATCATCATCGACATCGTCATCGTCATTTTCACTGTTATTACTGGTTGTAGTGCTAATGTTATTATCGCTGTTGCTGAAATTATTGTTACCATTTCTATCACTATCATATTTCATCGTTACTTTGGTTATCATCAGATCCATTGTTGGCGATACTATAGCGTTATGGTCAACGAACGAAATCAAGGCATAATATATATGTCCGCAAAAAAAAGGAAAAAAATGAAACGAACGACGACATAACGAGTAAATTTAGTGATGAAGTAAGAAAATTTAAGGAATTAAGTCGTATATACATATATGAATTTCAACAAAACGTATTACTATTGTGTGTACATATGTATCTCGCGTGTGTATGTATGTACATGCGTCTGTGTACGTGTCTTTACATATACGATTGTACTTTCAGAGACACACCAATTACAAATACATTCGTATGCATACATATGTGTATACATATGTACATATATGTATCGTATCGAATAAGGCGGTTTTCCACATGTTTGTCATCGACATGTTTTAAACATTTTTTGGACTCGAGTATTCTTTTCGTTATGGGAAATTTTATTTTTAACGTTACTTAAAAACTACAATTGGTGATTAGGATATTCGAGGCTAAAAATATAAGGGCTGTGGGTTTGTGGTTTCGAGGGTTCATAGGTGTCAAAGTCCAGAATATCGTGCTAATCGTTTGCGCAGTGAACGATAAAAAGCGTAAAGGTATGCGGAACGATATGTTATTGATCTTAATCGATATCAGTATGATAGTATATACGTCTAAGCTTTAGATTTACCATTAAAAGAAGAAAAGAAAAAAAAGAAAAAAATACAATTTACAAACAGTGAAAGAAACGTCCGTGTGGAATACCGTCATAACATCAATGATATATAAATATCGCAAGAATTAACGATATTCGACGTATAACGCAATGTTAATGAATACTAATATAAGTTAACACGATATCGAGTGATTAATACTTGTAAATTAGAAAACAGAAAGTATATCTATATCTACATCTATACCTACATATACGTATGTGCGTGCGCGGACGTATGTGCGCTCGTAAGTGTGTGTATATGTACTATATATACAGGATGAGAGTAAAATGGTCGTTCGTCAATCTAAAGATACATATATCAAACGAAACGAATGATTATACTTATATGCACTTCCTCGTACATACTATACAGTTTTCTTATCTTTTTGTTTTTCCTCGAGAAAGAAAGGAACACCTCCATGTCCTGCCGCGTGGATAAATAAAGTAAAATGTTTGACGAGTAAAGAACGAACCCATACATTTTGGAACACCACTTAAAATCATCCTATATATGTGTACCCATATTATTTATATGAATGGCACGCATATACGGATGCATAATCGAAATATGATATATTTTCTTTCGAACGTTTCGTAAGGTTCACAAGCGAATCGATCGTGTCGAACAAGAGTTACTACCACGAGTTTACCACTGTCATTTATTGCTTTAACAATTCAAAAGTTTCTACTCATTTTAAACCATCTATTCTAATTTCATTCGAGAATTAACCTCTTAGGCACGGCTGAATTTTGCGCGGGGCTGTTTCTCTGTACGGCAGAGTTCAACGCGAATTACGTGTAAATGATACGGCACTGCAATGTATGACGGATAATGCTGTTCTTTACACAAGTACATTGGAATGAAGTGTTTGATGATTAAATTATTGTATTATTATTGTATGATGATTAACTATAGTGGCGCGTCGTACAGAAATATGACATCCGCGAAAGCCACTATAGTGGCGCCTAGTGCCTAAGAGGTTAATAACGATCGGTTTAATCGCATAAACGCCGTATGTTAACTCATACCAAACGAGTTATTATCTTTTCTCTTCTCGAAAGGCGTTTATATTACACAAATGTTTTCTAATTTACTTTTTACACTTTAGAAGTAAAAAATCAAACTTTTCTCGTTCGACACTGACGATTTATAAATTTAAAATTTCTGTCAAGATTGCCCTATATATTTCACCGGCTGGATATACAAAAAAAACGAAACACGGTCAAGTACCTAGATATGCTTTGCGTAACATTGATTGAAAGTAGAATGAAGAAAGAGCGCAACAAATATTCCAATTTGATCTATAGATTGTCCTATACAATCGGTTATTATTTATTCTACTCCATTATTCATTTTCCATCCTGTTGGATATACAGGCATATATTATATTTATCGTGCAGCGATCGTGGATCATGCGTAATGAGGAAGATTGGATTTTGTTTTAAAGCTCCTTCGCATTCATTCCTATTACCGAATTTATTCCACCGTTATCTTATCTTGAAAAACAGACGTATCATATTATCGACTAATATATTTATCGATAGATGATATAATTTCATAGAGTTACATTAAAAATCGATAGATCACCATGTTGCTCGTGGTTTTTACTGAAAAACGTGTAACGGTAATATTTTTTGCTATTTTTAATGTTTTGTATCGTATTTCATTAATATCTCCGATAAAAGTAAGCTTTGTCGAGAAAAAGGAGAAAAAAAAAAGGAAATTGTACGCCTCTATTTGTCGGTAATAATCAATTCAATTAACGAATGGAAACGTTAAGATCTAACTGCGAGTTTTATCGAAAGAACACTCGTAAATGTATGCAACGTGATTATACACTTTCGCGAAGGTTTTCACGGAGATTAAGTGAAGTTTATTTTTTCTCATTGATTAAATCTCAATACCCTTACAGGTTAAACATACATATGTACGTACATATGTGTGTACACACATACATACACACAAGCGCGCGCTATTATGCGTATACGTAATATACGCTACAAGTTATACACATACCAAAACGTGGGTCTAACAACTGTAATATCTGGAACAAATCATTTGCGTTTACTCATTGTTCCTTTTACAGAGCTCAATTTTATAAGTATTCCTGTAAAACTTGTCGTTGCAAATCATTTATTGTCTTTTCACGTTTCGGACTTTTTAGTTGAATATTTATGCTTGTAACGTTTAAGAAAAAGAAAACACTCGTGTAAGAGACAAGAGTACATCGAAAAAGCTGGTTAACATCATATATCGATCGAGTATCATATAATAAAAGAACAAATGAAACGAAATTAAATACAAGGAAGAAAGAAAGAAGCAGAGGTAAATAAAGAGAAAGAAGAGACGAGGAGAGTTGAGGAAAGGAAAAGGAAAAATATTTGACAAAGTGAAAGAAATGTCAGTCAACGAAGATTATTGTAAAATGACAGATTAAATTAATCGAGGAAAGTTAGATATGTTTTTGTACACCAACTTGTATTCAATCACAGCTGTACGGTAAAATTCTTTATTCGTGTTATATCGCTACTATGATATCGAACCGTGTGCTCTTCTTTTTCTTATACAATAACCATACATAGGTGCGCACAATTTAACATATGCACACACTTGTTTAACAACCGCATAATCGAACACGTGCGCATATACACACAATCGTACGTAATAAGTTATCGATAAATATTTCATGACAGACAAAAAGTAACATGATATCTATCGATTACTAATAAATGTCATGACTCGCAGACTTGAAAATCTACAGATCTATCACTGCTGCTGTTATTTTCGCTACTACCACTACTACTGCTATTGCTACTTTTATTGCTACTGCTACCGTTATTGCTACCGCTACTACTTACTACCGCTACTGCTGCTACCGCTACTGCTGCTACTGCTACTGCTACTGCTACTGCTACTGCTACTGCTACTGCTACTGCTACTGCTACTGCTACTGCTACTGCTACTGCTACTGCTACTGCTACTGCTACTGCTACTGCTACTGCTACCGCTACTGCTACCGCTACTGCTACCGCTACTGCTACCGCTACTGCTACCGCTACTGCTACCGCTACTGCTACCGCTACTGCTACCGCTACTGCTACCGCTACTGCTACTGCTACCGCTACTCCTGCTACCGCTACTCCTGCTACCGCTACTCCTGCTACCGCTACTCCTGCTACCGCTACTCCTGCTACCGTTACTGCTGCTACCGCTACTGCTACTGCTACCGCTACTACTACTGCTATCGCTACTGCTACTGCTACTGCTACTGCTACTGCTACTGCTACTACTGCTACTACTACACACACACACATATGCAGACACGCATTTTATTGTATAAATTTTGTCGAGGTGCGTCTCCGAACAATAGTTGATACCTTTTTTCTCCATGATCAACTAAACTTTTTTCTACACAATGAGATTGTTCCTTCGTATGATAATTCATGTGGAATTAAGATTAATTCAAAATGACTTATGACTTTAATGAAATTCAGAATGGAATTAATCGATTTATTTAGAGCAATCTCGTAGGAGAGTTTAATCTTATTTTTGTATAGTCTTTGAAATTATGAAAACAGCTTCTCCAGTGGCAAGTATTTTGCCATTTAAGTAATACCATTTTACGTGTAATCGAATATGTTTAATATTGCATTTGTGTCCCTACATTCATATACGACAATCAGTGGAAATGATAGATTGGTATTTTTTTCTGTTTCGCGTTAGAAGATGGGAGAAAAATGTTAGAACAAAAAGTAACAATGATAATTATTGTAATCACGTTAATAGTATTAATAAACAACAATATCGATAATATTGCTACTAATAAGGGGTAATGGAAAAATAGAGGAGGAAGGTAATGGGAGGACGATCGAGATCAGCGTATCTTGTAAGCGTGATTTGTGAAAATTTAGGCCACGATAATGGCTCTAAAAATGTTAAGAGAATCGCAAAGTTCCTGAAGATTTAATAAACATACAGTATCGGTAACGAGGAAAATGAAAAATGGTCAGCACTCGAACTCGGAGACGTATCTTGGTACATAGTTGGCCTAGTAACAAGTTTCATATTTTTTCCCCCGATCCCAGTGAATCGTCGAATAATTATCATCTACTATGTAATATTATTAACATTATCCACAAATTTTATTGAAATAAACTCTATCGATACCGTTGAACATAATGTACTTAAATTATGATGACGACAAATTCGATATTGTTACGGGGACCGTGAGAATACCGTGTGAAAAACGAGATTAAGAAAGAAAGAAAAAGGAGGAAATAAGTGGACTGGAGAAAGCGAAAAGTAAATGAGCGAGTGCGATTTTAAGGGCGACACGCGTGCATGCATGCATGCATGCGTGCGTACGTGGCCCTAACTAGAAAGTGTATGCGTGCATGACGCGTGCGTCGTGCGTGGTTGTGTATGCAGGAATGAGAGAGGAGCGTGTGAGAATGAAAGAGGGAAAGGCGCGAACGAATAAATGACGGCTTACCAGGTGGGTAACGGATTGATACCGGACTGATGGTATCGCGTGATGGGTCGCGGGTGAGCGGCAGGGCGGGATGGAGCAACGGGTGGGATCATAGAATTAACGGATATACCTTTTGTGCGGATGTGTATCCGAACATTTTAAATGATCGATAGAATTATTATTGTATAATTGTACGAGACGGGATAAGATACAAATACGAAACAAGTTGGAACAGGGTGGGCTGATCGTATCGAGGCGAAGCAAGCAACGATGTAACGAGTCCTTTTCCTTTCATTCCGTGCGTGATTCGCATAATTTCGTGCGGTAAACCAGAAATAGGAAAAAGAAGAAAAAAAAAACGAAAAAAAAAGACATGAAGAAACGTATTGTACGTATAAATATGCAGAGGCAGTATAAACGTGTTGTTTACGTTTTCATCTATTGTGTAATTATAAATTAGTAATGAACATTATAATTACGGTAATTCCTGTATTTATCGTTGTTGTTCCTCGGTTATGCAGAAATGTTCAAAAATAATCCATTTGTACAATCATTGAGTCATTAAAATATGATTATTCAGATGAACAATGTTGCTCAGTTTATCCTTATTCTATACTCCTTGGACAATTTACACAAGCTACACTTTCGAGCGTCATTCCTCTTGCATATTTTTTCAGTGCCAGTAGAAAGAAACCGTGCAATAAACAACGAATGCATGGAACGGAAATTCTATCGTTTGAAAATGTAGCATAACAGTGACTCGATAATTATTTTATACGTATAACGCTACTTTTTCGCTATAGTGACTGAACTGGACGATATCGATAAGACGCAGGTGTGCATGATAAAAGAAAAAAAGCAACAATCAAATTGATCACTATCGATTCTCGCCGTTTATATCAATCAACTACACCGCGCAACCTTTCTCGATTAATCTCGGTTCGATTAATACTTATAAAGATCTCGGTTCAATTACAATGTCCATTCCTTTCTGGTAATCGTTCGGTTCAATTACTCAACGTAACGATAACGTGCTTAACGATATGATTCCATTCGATATGAACGAAAAGTCGGCGTTAGTTGAAATCATTTGAGGTTAATCTGTTGATCGGACAACGGAACAAACAATTCATCGATCGTATCCAAAATACGATATCTATTAAATCGGTTCATTAATATTCGAATCGTTGAGTTTGTACAGTGCACCGCAATCAAACGTACGCGTAACATGCATTTGCATTCCTGAAGAG